TATAAAACTTTAGTAACACTTTACAATAAGGTTTCAGTTATTAACATTAACTATATTAATTAACATGAACAATAATTATATAGCATGTATTAATGTCAGTTAATATTCAAAACTTAATGGGGTCATATGATGCGATTTCAAGTTTTCCTTTCTCTTTGGAGTGTTACAAGCTGATTGTGCATAGATAAGATCCCTGAAGTTGCAAAGACTAAAGTCTCAAAACCAAAGAGATATTCTTTATCAAAGTTAAGACTCTGCCACGCCCCCCTAAAACGGCTCGTTCTAACACGCCCCCACATATCTACCTCACTATGTGGAAATATTTGCATAATGCGGCCCAAATGTTCACGCAAAGAAAGAAGGCGTGGTTTCAGTAACCGCAGTTAGTGTTGAAGCAGCCATGTCAGGGAGACGCTGTGTGTTTCTAGGCGAAAGCAAAAGCACTTTATTTGGCCTTCCGGAAGTAGATGCATTTAGGAATCTTTAAGATTACTTACAACAGAACAGCAATGCATTTTATGGACGACCGTTTCGTGAACCTAGGAGAGGAGGTAATTCTGACTTTGCTATGACAATCTGGCGCTTATTTTTAATCAGCTACTGTAAGTATGTTTTGTTATTAGTTTAAGTATTTGCTATTGACTGTTCAAATGCGGAGTTTTGCGCAGCGCAAAGTAGCGCGTCGTGTGTGTGTGTGTGTGTGGGGAACAGGGTCACATCACAGGAGAGTGAACAGTCTGTCAGAAATCATAGCACGTCAGCTGTCTTAACCGCGGCTTGTGTACTGCATCATCACTGTGTCTGTCACGTGACTCTGTTGCCCTTTCGGGCTTGAACTGATGGTAAAACTAATGACATTATTTACTGTCTTTACATTTATTTTGAAAGATGAAGCTCGTGATTATGGTAAGGGGCGTTACATTTCCGACGCGTGCTTGTGGTGTTCGGCCAATCACAATGCACTGGTTCAGCTGGCCAATCAGAGCAGACTGTGCTTGTCAAAGGAGGGGGCTTTGTTGAAAACGACGTGTTTGAGAGAGGCGGGGCATAGAGGACCTACAATAATGTACAGTATTTGAAAAATAATGTGTTTTTTGAACATTAAAGCATGTCAACATATTCTGTTACACCAAATGCACAAAATAATGATCTTTAAAATAGCATCATATGACCCCTTTAAGTCAAGTAACAAACCAAAAATACAAGCCTTTACGAACTAGGGGATGAGTGAAAAACATTTTCAGTGGTAATGAACAGGAAGCCACAGATGACTCAACTAATGGGTTTGGGTGAACTTGACCTAAGATGACCTGCAAAATATCTGTGTTGTATTTCGACTAAATAAAAAGACTAAACAGTAGTATGTTCTTTATTTTGGAAATGGACAAAAGTTTTCAGTTTCAATATTACTTGAGTAAAGTACAAATTCTGTTCAATAAAATTTAAGTAATTACCGTATTGACCCGAATATAAGACGATGTTTATTTCTTGGAAATACATCTGAAAAAACGCGGCCGTCTTATATTCAGGGTATTTGTTGATACAAATATATTTTAACATTTCTTTTAGAAATATATTTTTGGCCATATTTTGTATATTTGGAAATATTTTTCAAAATATATATGAAAATATATTATTTTGCCATATAGCCTGATAGTCTCTGGTCACTGCTGAGCAACAGAAACATTCAATTTCTTTTTATGTTCAACAGAAGACAGAAAGTTGTACAGGTTTAAAATAACATGCTTGAGTAATGTCAGAATTTTCATTATTGTGTGAAATATTTTAAATATCATAAATAGTTTTTTACAAAATACAAAAAGGTGGATTTCTGCTATCAATAGTTGATCTTACCTTTTTTACTATGGTCTGTTGCGAGTGTGATGGTGACTTTTTTGGAAGCTGCAAGCAGAATAAGAGTACAAATGTATTTTATTTTTTTTCTAGAGAGATGGGAAAAGACTTCTTAATTCTTATCTGTCCTGGAAGGACATTATGGGTGGAACTACAAGTATTTAACCCTATTCTTAGCTTTGGCCTGTTCATATACCTGATATGTTGTGCACAAAACTAGAAAGCACTTGTAAAACATTGTAAACTACATACAGCATGACTTAACATGTGTGCATTCAAATCTTTGAACAATATTAGAGTGGCGTTTGTGTAAGTACTGTAGTGATAAACTAGATTTCCATGAGCAACATTTATATTCAACTTGTTTAAACAATTAGTACTAACAAACAGAAATTCCATTCACATTTTGGGACAAGTCTTTCCATGCCAGTCTAGTATTATTGCATGAATCATTTTAGATTTTCCCAGCCCTAAATAGCATGTACAATCTAGATGGGCATTCCTATCCAGAATAAGCTGTAGTATGATTCAGATTTTGTGTACAAAGACAAAAGTATGGCTACGCAATACAAATTTGATACTAACCCTATTTTAGTATCAGTACCCTATTTTATTTCACACTCACAGGTCTCAAATAGGGAAAAAAACTACATTTCATTCAGTGAGAAAAGAGTTTTTGGCTTTAAGATGATAATAAACAGGCTGCATCTTAATGAAGGTTCTACTAACTGGTGGAGCAGGACGGGTCGGGCCCAATCTTGCAGTTAGAGGGGTGCAGGGTTGAGTTATGGTGGTCCCCATGAATATGGGCTGGCTGATCTCAGGGCGGTCCTTCTTGGCACTGTTGTTCTCAAAAAGAAGGTTCAACTGCCCTGCAGAAGGAGTTTTTCTGTAAACAAGCAGACAGACGTGACATGACCGGACAGACTACTATAATTACATTACTCACAGCTACCCACACCTTCTGACCAATAAATTTGCAAGACATTTACAAGAAATCAGCAGGGTGGTTGCCATGCAACATGGCCCATTTTTAAATGTGTTTTACTGAGAAAAAACAAGATTTGGTTTTTAAAAAGCCTTTTTCCAAAAGGTACATCTGGAAAAAGGGGGGTCGTCTTATAATCAGGGTCGTCTTATATTCGGGCCAATACGGTAAGTAAAATCACTCAGCAGTATTGCAGCCCTGATTTCCACAGCTTAGAATTAGGAAACTATTGAAATAGTGTATCTATAGTTGATAACTATTGACTAGCAAGCAATGCTAATAATGTACTTACTCTAGCACTAATACAACTGTACTCATTTTTATATATTAATGTTTTATACTACTTTTATAGTGGATG